CAGCACTAAAGGCCCTGTGTAATATCGCGTCAAGTTTACTGAACAAAGAAGTTTGTGATACGGACCGAGAATGGACCCGATTGTTTACACTGGAACATTTTATAGCGATAGTTTTAGTTTCCCGCTGCCAAAGATTGGGTCTCGGTTGAGTTTTTAAAGGATTTGAACAATTGTGAAGAAATAATAGAAGAGCAATTGAACTTGAGATTTTCTGCTGGTCAACACAGGTATTGAAGGAGAAGTTTTGAGAGAGCAAAGGTTCTTTTGCCAGCCCTACCTTTCTTCACCTTCGGCTTCTGTAGTGAAAATATAAGGTCTGTTAGGTCTGTTAGTGATCAAATGTAGATCATTTTTCATAACTCCAATTCATACTGACACCATTCCTAAAATGTTCGATGAATGACATTTGGCCTTATCGAGAAATTATTGCATTTTTATTGCATTCTTCACTAAATTGAAATAATTTAGACAAAATTCTAAATTAGCCACCGATCACAACACAATTTTCATCTTTTGATCATTCTGATTAAACTGCCTCTTCATTTTTTTCCATCATGCAAATCCTATAGTTTGAAAAAAATATCTCCGTCTTGCCATGTACAATGCACATGTCACGGCAGGCGCTGCAAACAAAAGCTGTGTCACGCTCTTCCTTCTGTAGGCTTTGCATTTAATCTTGACGCATGACGCTCCTCGAGGCGTGTCTAGGCACGACTAAGCTGTAAGATTAATGGAATTTCTCAGCGAGCTTCAGTACAATTTGCACAATAAAATTCATGTCTCTCTCTCTCTCTGCCTTGGAGTTATTCTCTTTGCTTCATAATGACAAGAACTATGACAGTTCACAACAATCATAGGAAACCTCCATGACATAATTGTATCACTGGGATATCATATTTTAGGTCATTAAACTATCAATTGATCACAGTTAACTGCTAAGGTTTAAAGTGTTATTCTGAACAGAAAAATAAATAAATTAGCGGGTGCTTCAGCTAACAGAAATTAAATCTCTTAAAAAATAATGCGTTTATTCATCATAGTTATTACGGCATCTATTTGCCACAATAATAGCAGAGTGGTACTATTCATGACCAAGTTCAAGCAACCATTTAGTATTTCCAATATTTCTTACGTTACCTGTTGTTTCAGAATGAAATTTCTACTCGTGCAATTGCTACTAAATTTGGCAGATCATTTGCTCCGCCGACCTGATGACTGATAATTCATCGCACCATCATTTATTTGTGTGTCATTTAATAATATTCACATCATTATACAGTAGAAATATTAGCATTTATTCATAACCGTAGAGTTCTCTCTATCCGTTCTATTGGTTGCTAGACTTTCTCTTTCAAGGTTTATTATATTTGTTGTATTAATAATTTCTCAACATGTTGTTTAAGTTTGAATTTGTTTCATAAAAATTGTTCCGTCTTCATATTTGCACTTGTTTCAAATCCTCGACATTACTGCCCTAAATACCCGTTAGTTCTGTGATCGTTAGCAGCGCGGAGCATGACGCGTTGAACACGAGGATCGTGGAGTGTAGCGCGTGAAGTATAGCGCGTGGAGTGTAGCGCGTGGAGTATAACGCGTGGAGTGTAGCGCGTGAAGTATAGCGCGTGAAGTGTAGCGCGTGGAGTATAGCGCGTGAAGTATAGCGCGTGAAGTATAGCGCGTGGAGTGTAGCGCGTGAGTGTAGCGCGTTAAGTATAGCGCGTGAAGTGTAGCGCGTGATGTATAGCGCGTGAAGTATAGCGCGTGGAGTATAGCGCGTGGAGTATAATGCGTGGAGTGTAACGCTTGAAGTGTAGCGCGTGAAGTATAGCGCGTGAAGTGTAGCGCGTGATGTATAGCACGTGAAGTATAGCGCGTGGAGTATAGCGCGTGGAGTGTAGCGCGTGGAGTATAACGCGTGGAGTGTAGCGCGTGAAGTATAGCGCGTGAAGTGTAGCGCGTGATGTATAGCGCATGAAGTATAGCGCGTGGAGCATAGCGCGTGGAGTATAACGCGTGAAGTGTAGCGCGTGATGTATAGCGCGTGAAGTATAGCGCGTGGAGTATAGCGCGTGGAGTATAACGCGTGAAGTGTAGCGCGTGAAGTGCAGCGCGTGGAACGCACCGCGGATGAGTGCCTCCGGTCACGCGTGTCGTCGCCGTGAAGAATGGCAGCATAAATCACAAGACCTGAACCAGGGTCACACTTACGGCTCCCGCGCATATGAGTGGCAACACTGAACTATAATACGCATGGGCATGACACTGCAACCTAATGGCAGTAAATCCTAACCTTAGTGCAACTTACTTGCAGGTCAAAGAACCTCTATGCTTTATCTACAGTATAGCAACCGGACATGCATAACATAGCTTTGTTATAGCCGATTGCAATTTTCGATTTAATTCCATTTATATTCGCCGGAAAACGAATTAAAAAATATCGTGAAAGTTGGATTTTAGGGCGATGCTGTATATCTAATAACGCGACTCAGGTCCAGCCAGCTACCTCATCTAAGCAGCGCTCTACTACGCAAACATCATCATAAATGTCCAGATTCACGGCAGGCGACCACAAATGGTCATACTGCTTTTACTGTGATGATCATAAATCTACCGTTAAACTCTGTCTGTGACCCAAATAAAAAACAAAGGCGGTTCCTAGGTGGCCGATGAATGACCGACCCTTCTCTACCGTCACTCCAGAAGTAAACTGAAGGACATATTTTATTCTCTGATCTACATGGTCCTACTGAACGCAGATCTACGCGAAACTGAAGTTTTTGTTTCACCATCTTTGCTTCATAACGTTTCAAATGTGCCCAATGAAACGAAGAGTCGAGTATAAAAAAAACAATGCAACGACAATTAGAAGTGGAAGCCAGAATAAGCAAGAAAGTCAGGCAACAGCAATGGGCAGAATAGTTTATTTTGTGTAATTTTATACTTAATTACTTTAGCGTTTGTCTAGTTTTCATTCGATGTAGATCTACTCTTGTTCATTTTTTTTTTATTTCATGTTTTAAATTTTCTTGAACAATAGAAATATATTTTCAAATACATCATAACATCCATCAAAAAGTGTAAGATGGCAGAGAAATTAATTTTTTCAATAAAAGATTAGTTTTTATTCAATACAGATTATCCCGAGCAGTGAAATCCCCTAACTTCCTCCTCTCAGAAGCTGCTAATCCCAGTACCTTGGTCAGAGCTGCCCATGAGATGTGCGACCAGGAAACCGTCAACCGGCCACATAGACTTCGATTCATCGACCGTTTCATCGAGCCCTTTAATTGATTGCCTCGATCTTATGACAATAATATTTCCACCGCAAGTCAATCGAGAAACGTTATTAGGCTTCAAATAAACAAGCCGTAATCACGGGCTATTTCTCTTCAAAACGACCGAGGCTAGCGAGCGTGTAGCCCCAAACGAGCTGAGCGCCGGCCCCGGCCAGGCGAGCTCTACATGGGCCCCGCAATATACCCTGACAGTCGGATGGGCGTTTCTTTATCAGGCGGATATCGAGAGCGCTCACGGCCTCCGTTCCTTTATGAGGCTTTTGGCGCAGACACAAACTCCAGATTTCCACCCCGGGAAATAAACTCTAACCTTTTGCCACCAAGGCACTCGTAAAAAATATCTGTTTTTTAGTTGCTTTGTTCATGATGCGCCGTGTACTCGATTAGCGATTTATGTTATTAGTTAATAATCGGGACAATTTCGGCCGAGATGTATAATTATTTCTTGCGATGTGCAGTCAGTTATCGAAAGAGATTTATTGTTCGTCGCGTGCGGGATACTTACTTTTTACTAGAGATTTATGATCTCTGTAGAAAATTAAAACTCGTCTGTTTCTTTTCGACGTATTTTGGGCATCTTCATCTACCAGCTGTTTTCAAAATTAAAGATATAATTTAATAAACAAGAATTTTTGTATGTACAACGTCTCTATCGTATGCATGTCGACGTCTTTTGTATGTACAACGTCTTATATCTTCCCATTAGCCAATATCAGATCTGCCAATTTATCAATAAATTTCATTTTTAAGTTAAATAATATTTCGAAATCCAAAAACGAGACAATCGAACAGCTCGAACACTTAACACATGTGGTAGCAACTAATGTTTCAGGGTCCAATAATTGTGTTCGTGGGCGTTGGACACTCGCCAAGGCACAGCACAGCCACTGGAAGGCCAATTGCAACAATGGCTTCAATATTGCAGAGCACATCTCGCTCATGACCTACACCTGTACCAATAATTATATTATAAAAGCGCAGGCGGGTCAATACAGATTATTGACGGATTATTTCGGTCAATACAGATTATTGACCGAAATTTTTTAAATGAATTGGCGAGAACATAATTAAATTCACAAAGCTGAAAATCTTCGCTATATGGCCAACTATAGTTATCATTTAGCGAATAATGCATTATGTGACTTCTAAGTAATCATTATGTGACTATGTATATGATGCATCCGTGTAATCGATTCTCTTTATCGATCTTTTCCACTTCTTACTGAAGCTGAATGTTCTTGCTTGACTGATTTTTTGATACTCTGAAAATCAAGATAAATTGAGTTGGGTTCATTTGAGGAAGCACATCCCTATTCAGCGAAATAGTAACTCAGGAAGCCAATGAAAGCAAAAATGCGTAACAAACTAATCTGGGCTCGTCTTCAGAGAGGAACCCCTGAACCACAGAACCAATAAATGTAAACTTGTCAAGTATTCAAATAGATAACTTTCGTTGTGCGAGTCTAAGTAGATAGATGATCGATGCTGTGCTCATCACTTGTCAACGCTGCGTCCAATTTAGTGGGCTAGGCTAGTGCAAGCAGGGTGAAGTTTCGTATGTTGCGCAGCTAATATTTATGTCTGGCTGAAGCCGCCATAATACTTACTAATTGTGTTTTGGTGCGTGTCAAGTAATTTGCCGTATCTAACGCCATCTCACCAGTATTAGCTTGGTTTACCTTTATCCTTGACAATTTGCCGCAGATATCCCCTGGCTTCACTGAGGATATGAACATGTCTAAGAACGTGTCAGTCGAGAAGTCCGTGGAAGTTAGTGTCACCAACGTAGTAAATTTGCTCAAATTCTTTAGAAACAATACGTATACTGCTTCAACTCACAATGATGACGTGAGTATTACCGATTTTTGTGAGACTTCGCATTGTTGGTAGTAAGCCTTTTCTTTTGAATACATCGTACTTGTGAGGTGTTATAGACGCATTAACGATCATGATGCATGATGATAAAATGTAATGGTCGTTCGATTTCCGATAGCGCTCAAGTGGTTCAGAGGTAGTATGCATTTGATTGAATTGCGTTTGAAGCAGTGAAGTATCATTTATCGTGCATAGGCATTTATACTAGACCTTGCTTGAAGTATTGATTCGGAAGTTGTGAAGGTTATCTAATGCATTTCAGGGTTAGAATTGTAATATACTTATTGCTTCTGTTAATAGCTTACATGAACTCTCGAAGCTTACATGAACTCTTAAATGTTCATTCGAAGCATTTTAAGTTAATGATAAATTAGCGATAACGGCCGAATTTTCTCTTTCAAGAGCGCGGTAATGATTTATAAGCTTTCATTTAAAAATTGAATTAGCACATGATAATTTCCACACCGTACGGTTTTGGCGGACTTCGCGATTTCAGTTCAAAACGCATATGGTTTGTTGATGAGATACTGTTGTGAACCAGTACCAAGATATGCAAATCAGTACGAAAACTGTCTAGTTCTACATGTAATGTAACTACGGAGTACGGACTGGCATTCGATACGTTAACGTATAAGCTATGCAGCCTGCGGGCTAGCTCTTGAAAAGTGGAAGGCTCGTATAAATTCTAGCTCACGAATTCTACTCTATATAATTAGATTCAATTTTATTACAGCACACGAAGATCCTCAACGTCGTTGAACGGATGTGGGCTATGGACTACAAATACATGGTAAAATGTTCCCTTCCTATTTCATACCCAAGTCTTGTGATTTTCGCTCAGAACTGAAATATTAAAGGCTCCAGTCCATTGGCTTGAATTGAATTGAAGTCAATATGTTTGTGCAATGAGTAGAGGAACATAGTTATATTTATGGCAAGTCATGATTTGTAGTAGATTAAGAACCTTCATCCCTTCAGACAATAGACAACACTGGGGGAGTGTATTGCGATACCTATCCTAAAACCTTGTTCGTCCCGGACCGAATGATGTCCACCACACTTATACAAGAAGGAGTCCGCGTTTACTCCAGTGAGAGTCTCAAGGTTGATCCCCACTGCAGTGATCTGGTTCCTGATTGTGGTCAGAGCCATGAGTCTGCATTGGCCGGCATCGTAGCTCAGCACCAGCAAGTTGATGAGACGGTCTCTACAGATTTTTCCGGCATAGATATATCTGGTAAATGAAAAAATGTCATCGGCGATATCCCCCAATACTTGAATTAAATACTCCTTATGGAATGTGTTCCATCTTGACCGAAAATCAGTAATTGGATTGCACGTCTGGCAACAATTACAATACGAGTAGCCTTTAGCAGAATTTATCTACTTCAGCCTAGTTAGGCATTTGACCTAGAGACCAGTTTGTCATACAATTTGAATAGCCTCTGATAACGCAGACACGGAGCAGCGATCGCAGGAGTTGATGAAGCACCTGGAAGTTGCCAAGTATGGACGAAGCCGGAACCGCTTCGCTGTTCCAGTAATCATGTGCGACGCAAAGTATATTGCTCGGTATGTTAACAGAAGAGTGTGCCATTCTAGGACTAAGTCTAGAATTAACGGAGTAGGGTTCATATGCAATGAAAGAGGTTCATATAAAGCTGCATGCAAGCTACTTCCTGAGAACTGGCGATCCTTGCAGATTTCATCAATTTTTGATATACGTTGTGTTAGAGCGCAGTTCATAGTCCAGATTACTTTTATAAAACCTGTTTTGAGTTAGTTGGGCATCTCTCTACCAAATTCGTATTTCAGATCTTCAACAGTCCCTCTGGCCAAAGAAGTCATTTACCGCATGGGTATCGATGTGCTGGACTCCGTAATTAAATCTTTGACCAATTTTACTCTCCCTGAATTTTCACTATTAAAAGACAACTTTGGCCTCGCAGTAAGTTCTATCAATTTTACTAAAGCATAGCAAGTTGATCCTAGAAAAATCCTCAACCGACATCTTTCAAAACATAATTCAGACTGACTTAAAAGTTGTCATAAAAGAAATTATTTATCGGACAGAAGTTACATCAATGAAACTCGTGTTTACCATTCTTTTTCGACATTCTCAAGGAATCGAAATACAGGGAAAATGTTGACTTCTTTTCCCGAGGGAAAGCGGCTGACGCAGCGATGCTTAAGAAGTTTCGCATCACGGCTATCTTTGACCTGATGATCGAAGATCAGAAAGTAAAATACTACACATAGTAAGTAATCGGAAGTACAATTGTCTTGAAATTGATCTTCATTTCGCATCTAAAATGGTTGAAAATTTTGAGATGTATTATAAATTCCATGTAACGAAATCATGGGTTCAGACGTACAAAATTTGTACTTGACTAGGAATATGAGTAGGAGATGCTGCCTGGTTTCTGGTTCTACTTAACCGCAACTCTTTTTCTAGAGGGTGCTTTGAAATGTCGTTGAATTGTCATCGGCTAAGATAAATAGATCGAATTATTAGTGTGCCTACCCAACAGCTGCTCCTCTTCAGAAAAAGCAGAGGGCGAGACTGAATACTCAGATTTTGCCCTGAACTCTGTTCCGTATCCCGGCTGCGAGTTCTTCAGTAACTTCAGGGAGACGCAATGGAAAGCGGAGTATCTTCGTTTTGACTGGAGAGCCGAGGAAGTCAATGCGGAGTTGTCGGTGAATGAAGCGGTTCACCCATCGAGCAGTGATCAGAATTACAAAGTAAATGGAGATTCCGAAGTATGCATTTCAGATCGGGTAACTGAGTGGTCCAAAGCAGAAAACGGTTGAGGTTCCGAATCAGCAAATGGTTGTGAAATTTTTGGTCGAAACGGCCAAGCTAACCAGGTTGTCAACTATAAAAAAGAGACCAAAATATCTAGGTCATTAAGTCGCCACCATCAAACGTGTCCTGCAGTTGTAAACCGTAATTTAGGCATCCTATCGGATTAGTTAGGAATCCTAGTTGACAAAGATTCAAAACGGTTTTCTATTCCACACCATAAGCAACATGAAACTTCTTGTACTATCTCCTTAGCTCTGAATGTTGATCGATTGGACTTAATCCTGAAATGACGTGAACACATTTTCCTCTACAGTTTCAATTCACTGTATTACAAGTTACTTAACATTTGAACGTTATTTCCCCTCAGAGCTGGGATCTTTGCAAGCTGACCAAAAGGTACCTGCAGTACATGCTGACTTACATCACAGGCGACACGGCCAAGGGTATGCTCGTGCACTGCATCTCAGGCTGGGACAGGACGCCGCTCTTCGTTTCTCTGATGCGCGTCTCCCTATGGGCCGATGGTGTTATCCACAGGTCTCTGGACGCGGCGCAGGTAAACCTTTATGAAAAATACTGAAAACAAATTTCAACAGAGGGATCCCTGCAACAAACGGAAACGGCTTGAATTCACTTCCAGGATAATGCGATACTGAGCACTGACATTCATCAGTTAGGCATTGTATACGTGCATGTAGAAGGATTAGTTTCTTTCTCTCGAGTGACTATTGTGGAATTGTTAATAGCGTAATGCTCTTTCCGAGTTAAATTGTTCAGATGCTGTACTTCACTCTGGCCTACGACTGGATGTTCTTCAGTCATCAGCTAGAGAACAGAGTTCAAAAAGCTGAAGATATCATGCTGTTTTGCTTCTACTTCCTCAAATTTGTTAAGGGAGAGAATTACAACACTCGGTCCAGGCAAGTCTTCTAAGGCGTGGAATAAGTCGTTTAGCGAGTTGTCATAACAATATCCATAATTTCCTTCCATAACAATTTCCTTCATAATTATGAAGGCGATTTCGAAACATCTCGGAAATCATTCACTCCTTTCTTGAATGGTACCATCTTCATTTTCCTTATTGACGATTCTTGATCCTCCACAATAGAATTTAAAAATTGGCAAACTGATGTGTTTAATTCCTTGGATTTTAACCAAACCGTCACCCATTTCTTGTACTTTCTTGCGCATTCCCTTTCTTGTGTTTGCGCGATTCATTCAATTTTTGTACTTTAGCCATTAATATCATTTCGTGTTCGCGCGCATTGAATTTCACGAATCTGCGGCCGCCATTCACAGCAATACGCGTTACTTTCCCTCCCCCCAGCGACTTCGGTTGGACGGACCCAAAAGATGACGAGAACCATAAACGTCAGCACATGGAGGAAGATTTCAAGACTCTAGACGAAGAGCAGATCACCGAGCTTAACGACGCTATGAAGGAGAACCCGAATAGAGACGAATCAGACCTTCTAAATATGTCGAATGACTCGAAGGCGAACTCGGTAGCCATTGTTTGAAACTATTTACAGAATTCGTTATATACAAAATTGGTTCGCTTGGTTTTTTCTTCAGATGAAAAAAAAATTTAGTTCGAAAAGAGTGACGCATTTGGATTAGCTGACCCGGTCTGCAACTTTTGATATCGAGCAGAAGTAGATAACACACGGTCGCACGTATTTCACCATGCGCCTAAATAAGTTTCAATAAGTTGATATTCGTGTTATGCTATACTAAACAACTTGTTGAGACTGGAATTAACATTGAGCTTACTTGGTTGTTGAATTTCCAGAGCGTCTCGTCAAACGAGTTTGAGATGGTTAGTACAAAAATGGTAAAAACCCTCCCCTCGAGGCTGTCGCCAGGATCTGCTCTTAAGAAGATGGGACTGTAAGTACTGCAGTACAATCGCTACCACTAATGAACTCTATATTTTGCCATGCTAACTGTGATGAACTTCAGCAAACTATGTTCATAATATTTTTAATATCCGGCCTTTTCAGTTATGAAAATATAATAAACCATATTGTGTTCAGATCATATTAACCTAATTCATACCGTAGCAGTTTGCTTGCACTCTATCATTGCATCAGCTTTTAATAGATGCAGCGCGCAAAGGTAATGACCGTTTGCAAATTCATCCCAGTGCATCCCAAAAATTATGGATTATTTTGTAGTTCATGTACCGTGAACTTGTTGCAGTGATAAGAAAAAGTCTCATGATCCACTGCGCTGGTCTTTGGTCCTAGCTTGATTTAAAATGAAAGTAACCCCGTGTGAAATGTGACATTCGTTTGAAAATTCCAGGTCGTCTCCTCACGACAACCCGGGGGAATACATGGCTGGCCTGGAGGGTACTAGTTACACAGATTCGCGTAGAAAGATGTTCGACCGATACCGCCGAATTTCCGAAGTGAGCTGCAATGCAGATTACTCCAGATTTGATGATTTAGACCATTTTTTTAATAATGCTCACACTTACAAAATTCATGTCGCATGCTACTTTTTTTGTGTGGAGAACCAATTCACGGCAACGCTATTGCAATGAACACGGTTTAAATTAACGTGTTCGTTTAACTTCTGTATGACGACTAAGTTGAAAGCAATTCTCAATAGTACCAGTTTAAATTCTTGTTTTTTTTAGATCCGCAAGATATTCTTCATCGCTGTCAATGAAGGTTACGAGTTGAAGAAGCGCACCGATGAGGCCGCGTCTAAGTTCACCTCCACCCTCCTTGACTACGCTCGTCCGCATTTAGCCCAATTTTGGGGCGAACAGCTTTGATAATCACGGCGCTAACTCTTCAATTTGAATAACAAATATTACAAGGTGGCGTTGACAAAATTGAGTGAAATATGAGGACGGTTATATATTGAAAATTTTAGCTATTTCTGGATCGTGATGGTAGAGAATAGCACTTATCCTAAACCCTTTAATGGTATTGGTTAACACGATAATTTTAAGTGTATTTTGTTGATGTTCAATAAAGATTTGGAATTTATTTTAATTCCAAAACCTTTGAATTAAGAAACCGTAATTCTATATTCTATAAGCTTGCAATCAGGCTAAAACCATTAGGAACTGCCCTCGCTAACTCACTTTTCCAGATCTTGTGAAATTAATTTATGACTCTGCATGAGCTTTCGGACGCGATTACAAGAAATTTCTAGATGTACAAGAATCGTGCCTTTTGTTACTTAGTGGTCAGAAGCTGTATAAAAATGTTTAGGAAGGCTCTGGGCAAATTTCTAGATTTGTCGCAGCATTCTCTTGAACGGTCTCTCGTCCCACCCAATCATTGTTACGCAATCCTGATTTAAACACTTTCTAAAATCTCCTAAATTCTCTTAAGTATTTGAAAAAATGCCAGGTACTTCATGATTAAAACGCCCGACTTGGAAGATTAGTATTGTTATCGTCCTAAAAGTTATCACGTAGGGATTGAATTCAGAGTGATAAATTATAGTTGCCTTGAACAACGATAACGGGTGCAAACGCAGCACTGAAGTTGGCTTCGCGGCTCAGAAGTTCTTTACCTAAATTTAAATACAGAAGAGCCGTCGAGCGCGATAAACGGATAATCGTTAGATATTCTCGACTGAATGTCATGTCAGCCAACGAAAATGTTGATAACAAATAAATTTATTTTGGATGGCAACTTGGACCAGCCACGCACGGCAAGTTTCCATGACGTAGTTCGGAAACTTTTGATTTTCTCGTCCACGAACGAATTCGAATAAGCCTCCTATGCTGGTGGTAATTGAGTACCATATTTTCGTCCTCTTGGAGTATGTAATCGAGTATTCTTTGAATTGAATTCCTACGGTAAATTTTTGTTGATAAGCTTTTTCGTGTTGGCGGTTATAGATTTCTTGTAAGTTCCCGAGTCCTCTAATTTCAGTTCAATCTTTAGGAAAAAAGGCGAAGTGGAATTTCATATCTTCCTGACTTAATTCATTCATAATAATACAGTGGATAATCCACAATTGAAGAAAAACCCCACCAACGGCGGCGCGCACGCACATGAGGGCATTGAAAACGTCTTTATATGAAAAAAGGCGATTAAAAGGTTTCGGTTATGATTGTTTCGTTTTTAGTCCGCCCTCAGCCAGACTTTTATGGCTGACTGGAAGACAAAGAGCTGTGTTGCTGCCACGACGTCGGCACTCAGGAAGTTCCATATTCTTATAACCGCAGTAAAGAAGTATTGTAGGTGGAGGTCGGTTCTGCTGCGTGGGACCTGCAGCTTCTGTTGGTGCGCTCTTGTTGCGCGTGTGACTGGTGGCACAATTCTGAAAAAGGTTGAACATGCTTTGTCTGCCATTCTCCTCAGATGAAGCTGGTTCTACTTTAGCCTGGCTACCATCTCAGTGGCACTGGATTTGGGACTGAAGTCACCTAGGATTCTGCAGGCACTCTGAATTGTACCATCTCAGAAGTGGTCTTCAAGTGCTGCTGATGCGGACACCAAGGCCTATGATGCATAGTCCAGCACCGGTCGTACGAGGCTTTTGTAGCAATGAACTTGGACTTGTACGCACACAGTGAAAGCAGGTTTGCGACCGTTTGCCCGCGCGGGCAACCTGCTCCAACCTGCCACAAGAATGAACATAGGATAATAATGTAAGTGTTCACAGTGAAAACCTGTACGAATAGGCTTCTGTATTCTATGGTTTCAGGCGCCAGCCTGAGCAGGTAACCAGCACGCTGACAACCTGCTTTCACTGTGTGCGTACCCTAAGGCATCCCTTAATATTTCTGCAGGCGAACGCGCAGAGCTTTAGCTGCAGTTGTCTCGATGTATTTCCCCCTGTGCAGAATTTATGATATTTCAACGTCGAGGTGCTTGGCGCTGGAGACTTAATTGTTTCTTCCCTTCCACGACCACTTGCTGCGTTCGTCCAGACAAGGAAACCGGTGATCCACTTCTTGACCCTCCTTCGAATGCCATAGAAGTCCAACTTCGATAGCAGTCGCTGGTGGGACATACTTACACATCTTTTTTGCGTCGATATATGTTCTGATAAGCACAGAAAATCCCATCAATGTAGGACTGAAATTGTGAAGGTAATCTGCGTTTGATATTGAGCGCACTCGTGTCATGTAAATGCGCGACACGTCGGAAACATTTGCCATTAATTGAGCGCCGGGCGCAGAACATTTGAATACAAGCCTAACAGCAAAAACGGGTCCAATTACTGTCTACGGGACATGGAGTAGAGGATTTCATCATTGCGTTTAGGGTTAACATTAATAAAATCGACATCCACCTACACCGGCTATATGCCTGCACTTGTCGTTTTCAGTTTGTTATTTTAGTCTAGTTTTTCAGCCTGACTGGGTTCTCGTTTCTTTAAAAAAAAACATTCATTTAATTTGTACTCTGTCAATTGAATGTTTTCTAAGTTGACATATATTATAATTTATTTTGAACTGTAATTTAAGCCGAATTAATTTTTTTTCCTTGTTCTTTGTTCCTTATTTTTTGTTAATCAAATTTTCAGTTGCGTATTTCCTCGAAAAAAACATCATTTCGCTAAAAATTGTATTTCAACCATTATTTATTATGTAATCATTATTTAATCAAAATTTTCATGTTGTGCCATAAAATTTCTCTACAAAAATTCTTTTACTCTGCGCTCTCAAACATCCAGAAATTCAAAGAATCTTGTGATGGAGCAGCAAACTTCTTGCATTCATAATCTTATTATGGAAAAGGTTTCTACTGTGAAAATTCATTAAGATTTTTTTTAATTTCCGACCTCTCTGAAACACATGAGAACAACCTAGGAACTTCAAGTAAAAGTAAAGTGCGAGGCTGGGAGCTCTTCCTGTCTAATGCTATAATGGAAATTCAAAAAAGTTTTTTATTGATGACTTTATTAATATTTTTCACTGAAAATCTTACGCAACTTAGTAGTACTAAAACATGTCTGACCAACCTTTACTCGCAAGGTTCGTTATTAGCAGGCAAGTTCCATTACTTTATTCTTCATTAATCTAATATATTCAGTTCTGGATGAATATATTCTATTATTAATCGAAATACCCAGCAGGTCAACGCGGTCTATTAAGTTCGATTGGTCTGGCAAGCAGAGTACTATGTTACTTACCTAATTATCATAACTCATGATGAGAATATTTGAACACTTTTCTCTCGATCCAAACAACAATACCATGTTCGGGATCATCACGATTTCAAGTCCGTGATTCGTAACGCGAATCTAAGTAACTGCAACGACGATATTGGTGGTGAGGCAGGGGCAGGCACATAGGCACAAAAAGTAATCCCGACAAACAGAAAGAATTATCATGACTAGAAGATCTGATGGTTATGATGAGTAGTTCATTTTCACCATTAAAGTGAAATGACTTAAGGTAGCGTGCTATGATTCTACATACGGCAACACGATTAAATCGCGTAAGTTACCTCTTTATTTTGTGAAAATTATTAGTTGAATTAAAATCAGGGAGCTATTAGGCTTCAATAAAGCATACGTGCCTATACAGCTGAACCCAAAAATTATAATTTTTTTTATGAACTTTTAAAAATTTAGGCGCAGAATAATTTGCGCTACCCACATGTTGCACTTATTTTGCGAACTTTCCAAAACGTCATTTCCCAGAAACGTAGACCTTGTACCTTCGTCATTTTCTAGTTTTAGATTCATTTTAAGAAAGACTGCTGATCAAAAACCTTGTGTTAACGTCGATTGCATTGTTCAGTCGGAGCATTTATTTTCTTTCATGAAAAGATAGTAAAAATCGCCAGAATTTAAACTAAGGTAATTTTATTTTTGTTTATGATTTCTTAAATGTGTGCACAGAACGGACCAGTGTGGTCCATGTGAAACGAAAGTGAATTTCACAGAGTATGCAAATTAAATTTTTCAAATTTATCTAATATTACTGGCAGAAGTACATAGTTGACGTAAACCCTACTTTCCAATAAATTTGTTTGCTTAATCTCAATAAAAAAATTGTTTAGCAGTAGCCAGCGCGTCAATTTTTCATTAAACCAAATTATGTTTTTTTTTTCAATTTTAGAGTTTTCGATAAATCCAATTTATTTCACAAAATTTATTTTACGTGCACTTCATGTTTACGTGCAAAATACATGACAACATAACGCTAACATTGCTGATTTGATACAATGATAAAGTATGCCATTTTGTTGTTTCCATTTTATTTCGGCAATTTATAATTAAATTGTGTTTTGCTCTTAATACATCGGTAACAAATACTGAGGTGTTTATTCACGATCGAAAATTTATGCCAGAGCTAAAAACATATTTCATAGAGTCACCGCCAAATAAACTTCATATTTTTAAGCAATCTTCATAAAAGAACTGCTTGAGCATCAATGTGATGCCGGAATTGAGCAGAAACTTTCGTAATCGGCAAGGTCGAGGTCGGTGAGTAACGTCCCATCAGAGCACGCTGCCCTCGGGTCAACTTTGTCCAGGTAAGTTGGGTTCAAGAGAAGCCATACAATATCGCAGCCACATTCCAGCGGATTATCTGTCAAACGATATTTCTATGTTAGTCATCATGGTAAATTATTTATGTATAAGGAATGGATATTTGTTGTTTAAGCCTATTATCGATATCATAGTAATGATTACTATTTCTAAATCAATCAATAGCAACAAATCGTATAATTGAACGCAAGTTGACAAGCGAAGTCAAACAGAATGATATTCAAGCATATTCCTGCCTTGTTATAAATACAATAAATTAGATGTTAATTACCACTTTCTTCCACGCATGCATAATTGTAGAGAGTGAATTGATACCTTAAAGGAAATTTAAAAATGAGTCAAAGACATATTGCCTGAATTATATCTTTGACCGAAACTGCACATTTAGAGAGAAATTTTGGACTGAGACTGCAAATAAGTGGTTACAATTTTTCAGCACTAGAGACGAGAACGAAAACCACGAGACTAATTAAGAAATAAGAAATGCTGAAGGCAAATCTAAAAAGGAAAGCTCACTTGTCTGTGAATGAAATCCAAATGAGTTTAATATCTTCAATTTGACGAGTCAACAAGCGGGTAATCGAATTGAACAAAGTTTGAGATCGGTGACTTAATTCTAAATTTGATTACCAAAGAGTTGCACAAATTCAAGGTATGGCATGATGGGCCGGAACACCTCTTCGTCCACGGTCCTCAGCTTGTTGTTTTCCAAGTGCAGGCGCATCGTGACGTTTTCTGACAGTCAAAATTATAAATACCATTGAGCATTTAAGCAATGCAAATATTTTCTAATTATTTATGAGTTAATAAAGGCATGAACAACCATCCACCCCAACAAAAATTAACGTCAGACATGTTGTTAGTCTGTTATTTTGGACTTACGCGGATGTCCTTGCACGGAGAAGACTCCAGGTTCGAGGTGCTGAAGCTGGTTCGAGTAAAGGTAGATGTAGATAAGCACGTGGTCCACGCCGCTGAACACGAACGTGCTAGCTGCTAAGGAAGTTAAGTTGTTCTGGCTCAGCCCGATGTAGGTAAGATTTGGCAAGTTGCTGAAGGTATCTGTAAACAGAAAATTATCATTGATTTTCATTTTTATCAACATTGATGTTCATTCAGCACTGAAATAGTGAAATCGCATAATGAAAAATACATCTAAAATCGAATTTAAATTTTTAACAGTATTCAGGCCGTGAGACACCATTTCTTACCGTTGCAAACTACGAATGTGAAAAGATTCAATGTTTCAGCTCTATTATTATGAATAATTTCAGCAAAGTAGTTAGAAAAATATACAGCATTAAATTTGACGCGACTTTTTTCGAGAACTGCAAGTATGTTGCCTGTATATTGTTTTTTAAATTTATGGTTCTCCATTTCCTCAAATCAAATGAGTTGGTATCTTGATTTTGTACCTCGTAAATGTTATATTCAAATATGTTGAAGGTATTACTTGCCACGCATAGAATAAGTGGTCTGACAAGCGTAGCAACACTCTTACCTGGCTCGATGACAGAGATCATCCCTGACTCAAATGCGACGCCCTGTATCGTTGCAGAGTGTATGGGCGGGATGAAGGTGAAGTCGTTGGTAGGGACGAACAGTGCCTCCAGTCGCGTGTAGGAGTCCATGGAAATGAAAGGAAAAGCATCGCTTGTGAGGCTCGTGTTGGCGATGGACAAGTAGACGAGGGTGTCGCGGCTGTCGGCCAGCCAGTACTGGGAAATTTCACGCAGGTTCACGCACCTCTCAACGAATACTTCAACGAAGGTCAGGCCGTTGAAGATGTCACCCAAGGTGGTAATGTGTGAATTGTCGAACAGGTCGAAGCTCTGAAAGTGTTTCACTGGGAAATTTTGCTGAAAAATTGTCTCTAGATATTTTTCAGTAGGAACCAGTGAACAGTCAAGATGAAGCAGGTCGCGTTCATCCGTGTAGCAAATGCAGGGGGCGATATCAGCAGCATCAGGGCAAGGGAAAGTCTTCAGTTGTCTCTTGACGCCATAAGCTTGTCTCATCTCCCAAGGGTTCGGTCGCTGTTTAATGAGTTCTTGAAGCTCGGGCTGCCCCTTCAGATCAGATTCGTTGAAGAAATCATCCGAGAACTGTTTTGTTCCTTCCAATGGCTTTGCGATAACATTGTTGAAAAATCCCAGCAATGCTACGAGGAATACTATTGAACGCATTTCGCTCGCTAAAAGAGACTATAATTACGTATGAGTTAGTACCAAATGGAATTTAGTAAATCTGTAAGAGGAAAACATGATTCATTGTATGGTTAGCAATATTATTTTTAACGCTATATATTGAAAGTTTCGAAACAATTTGGAGGTTTACTGCCACTTTGCGACCGGCTCTAACTAACACCCGAACATTATTTGTTCAGCGGAGGATGGCATTTTTTAAAGTCAACCCAGATAACAACTCCATATAGTTCATAATCGTTAAAAATATAGGCTTTGAGAGCGTGATTTTTTTCTAACACTTGTTTTGACATCAAGAACTTAGTAGATTATCACAATGCTTGATATGCTCTGAAATCGCGTAAAATTTATAATACGGAATTTCCACCTGCTCACGTCAACTACGCTATGGTTGAACGACAACAGTCCATTGAAAATCTTCAGCTGCGAATGACATTTATATGGTTACAAAATTCAGGTGCTATAATGCACAATGTGTTTTTTACAAACATTGATCATTGAAACACATTCTCTATTTAACTATTTATATATTGATTTAGCAATCCCGAACTACTTTCTCGTCCCCGATACATACCAGAGTGAGAACTGCTCGCGTGCAACAGATGTAATTTATAGGGAATTTGATCAGCATCTTATCGCTGCTCTGATAAGATCAAGAACAATTTAATTGAGAAGGCTAAGCCATGCCGGCGTCGGTTAATGGAAGCGTCGCATATGACATTTCCCATCATAACGTCTTTATCGGCGGCATCCTGAGGCTTTACATAATGAAGCTATGAGACCAATAATAGTACATTATACACTATTACAATTTATTTGTGTTTGACACACGGGGGGCAAACTCATTCAAACAGCACACCATAATCGACTCGGTCAAAACACGTACATGTGATACCAAAAATGAATATGGTGAATACGTATTATACCCAGCGTATTAATATAACAAGTAGCTTATGAGTCGCTCCAATTTTATGAATGCGATACGTATTCTGTGCATTTTTGTTACGTGCACTAATCTGAAATATCTTAACTAGCTGTCATGCACGTCAATGCTTCTTAGGATGGGCGTTCGCACAATTGTCTCTAGACATAAGTTGTTGGGTAATTTTTTGTTGGTACGTGAATTTTTTTCTCCGCGTTTCTGCATAGTTCCAATTAGTCTCCCGTCAAATCAGCGGATCAAGCGTTTTTTATTAATAATAAATGTTCTATACATTTCGTAGAATGAGTGCTGTGTCGCTTTGTAAGAATCTTTTGGAATTAAAATTAGCAAATAATTTTCAACTTTCCATTATAAACTCTTTGTTTATAATTTTAAATGTGAGTATAGGTTGCACTAATTACGAATAATGGCGTAACTAATTAAGTATTTACGAGATAGTACAATTATTTGTCGAGTTCTCCAGACAGCAAAGCTCTTATCATTAATCTCTTCAAGTGATGAATCGTGAGTCCGGTGATAAAGCGTAAGCTTCGCTCACAATTTTTTTATTAAAACTGAACACTTAATCAGCCGTCAAAGTCTTATCAGCCAGACTCACTAAGTGACTCCACTTGGAAACTTCCACCGAAGTAATTTCTTTTACCCGTCAACTTGAAGAAAGATCAAAATAATCTGAAAACCACAATAAGCCGTCACCAGGGAATTTTCTACACTTTATTCCATTTTATGATTTAAATGTACACAAGCCGTGCGCATTGTGCTCTAAAATAATTACGGCATCGTTAAATTACAACATACGATCAGCTGTGTACTTGGTACCGAGAGTATTATTTGAGTACTTAAAGATATTGAGGCTCGTAACATTATCGACTACCGCCCTTCATATCGATTGAGACTCCCACCTCCAGAAAAATGAAGACCTGAAACCTCCATTCAATATAATGGAAACTTCAATCTCAGCTGTAAAGATTTAACCATAAATAAAGCGCAATTGCAAGATGATCTTGACAGTTTAATTAACTGGGCTGATACGTGGCAGCTGCGGTTTAATGCTGACAAGTGTTAAGTACTTCACCTCGGGAAGAACAATGAACAGCAAGATTACAGTATGAGAAGACATGGTTAATACTAGAGAGTAATGATTGAAAAGTCTAGTGTGGAAAAAGATCTCGGAGTTTATGTCGACAAGGAGCTGAAATTTTCTAAGCATGTTAAAACGCAAGCTAACACATCCAACAAACTTCCTGGACTAATCAGACGCTCATACGAGTTCCTAGATGCAGAAGCGATGTAGCAGTTGTTTGTTGCTGTCGTGCGCCCGAATCTAGAGTTTGGAAACGTTGTGTGGTTACCGAGGTTTGAAAAGGACAAAAATTTAATAGAGAATATTTAAAGACGTGCAACAAGGATAATGCCAGGCTTGAAGGGCAAGTCCTATGAAGAAAGATTGAAGATTATGAAGCTTCCAAGCCTCAGTTATCGACGTCTGCGTGGGGACCTCATTAAAGTATACAAGTAAACTCATGGCTTAAACAAGGTCTCCGAAGGATTACTAGAATTTGAAACAAGAACTATCACCAGGGGCCACGGCTATAAACTAAAAAAACTGCGCTGCAACTTCTCCACGCGACAAAATTTCTTCTCGCTTCGAATCACAGACATGTGGTACAGCCTCCCCGATGACATCGTTGGCGCTCCAAGTATGAACGCGTTCAAGAACAGACTAGATAAAGCTATGGAAAAATATATGTTCAGATTTGAAATGCCTAGCTCCTAATGTTGAAACGCAAGCTAACACATCCAACAAACTTCTTGGACTAATCAGACGCTCATACGAGTTCCTAGATGCAGAAACGATGAAGCAGTTGTTTGTTGCTGTCGTGCGCCAGAATCTAGAGTTTGGAAACGTTGTGTGGTCACCGAGGTTTGAAAAGGACAGAAATTTAATAGAGAATGTTCAAAGACGTGCAACAAGGATAATTCTAGGCTTGAAGGGCAAGTCCTATGGAGAAAAATTGAAGATTATGAAGCTTCCAAGCCTCAGTTATCGACGTCTGCGTGGGGACCTCATTGATGTAGACAAGTATACTCATGGTCTATACAAGGTCCCCGAAGAATTACTAGAATTTGAAACATGAACTAACACCAGGGGCTACTGCTATAAACTAAAAAAACTGCGCTGCAACTTCTCCACGCGACAACATTTCTTCTCGCTTCGGATCACAGACCAGTGGAACAGCCTCCCCGATTACATCGTTGGCGCTCAGAGTATGAACGCGTTCAAGAACAGACTAGATAAAGCTATGGAAAAATATATGTTCAGACTTGAAATGTCTAGCACCATATCGAACCCGTTGGAAGTCTAGTAGCTACTTCAAACTATCATCAGTCATGAAAAGATCCGTCCAAATGACACAATTTTAGATCTTCTGTGAACAAGGCACGAAAAGGAAAAGAATCGGCGACAGGCCACATAAGGCCTACACTTCAGCGCCGACATCACTATGTTATGTTATGTTATACACAATCTGGTAAAACACTTGCATGCAATCAAGGTGAAACGCTTAAGGCGCAATTTATCGTTAGAACTCGTCGATTCTCATTTTGTACATAAATTTTGGGAAATCAAATAGCCTTATCATTTAGTGAAGTCAGCTTCATTCTCATAAATATTAACGTTCAATTTTCTAGCTTTTTGATTTTTGATTTTACTATTGTTCATTTAACAGGGACACGTGAATGATGCTTTTTTCAAATTGCAGCATCAATATAATCTTTATTTACAATCTACTCTCAATATTCAACTATTCTTAGGCCAATAAATTATTTTATACCCCGTCGCTATTAATGAATTGTTTCTTTATCCACTTTGTATTTATCATTCACTTGATACTTTAAATCTCCAAATGAACAAAGTTACTGATTGGATTGAATACAAACAAAAAACAGATCCTCACTTAGTTTCTCTTTCCACACGCTAAGCCTTCCGCCAATTGTTCATTTCTTCACTCGAAATTCAATATAATTTCTTATCTTTCTTCTAGAGAGGTCAGTTTTTATGGAGAACTCAGACACAATAGTGCACAGCAATGATTGATAGCATCACTCTGTGATGCCGTGCTTCTTATCTTATCAATTAACTCACCCCGTCAAAGCAAGTGTTATGTAACGGGAGGTTATTTGCAGGCTTAACTTAATTATAATTATTTTCGTGGAGCGTTTTCAGTGACATACTCGACAAAAATTTAAATTTTTTATTGGGCGCATTTTCTAGCTTTCAATCTGATATGAAAATTTAATTGTGGCTTATTAGACACTTTGTTTGTAACACAGTTCCGAATGAAAAGAGCTCCAAATGATCTTGAAAAGTAATTAAATAACCTTAAATAATAATCTTGAAAAAATAATAATTTCCAAATGATCTTGAAGGAATAGTTGTTTTATGAATAAATTCGACTATTTATAGTAGGCTATACCAGAGCTGACTGAGATGCATAATTATATTGTTTTTTATTTCAGAATCCCGTTATTCCAAATTTCGGCATCGAGAACTCTATCATACCGAATTCAATAATCAGAGCAAGACCCTTTTAATGCAACATATTACACGAAACTCCCTTTCAAGTGCAGTTTGGAAATCTAGAGAAACTTGAAATTACTTCAATTTTAGGGATAATGAGAGACGTCCTTGCTTTACAGATCAAAACAAACGCAGTTTTACCCAAAATTGCCATAAATGTTTTTGCAGTAATTTTGCAAGTATAATTTCAGTTCACATCTTCTTACATTAGTGCCAGCTAAACAATAAATTACCAAAATTATTTTCAATTACGTATCTACTTGCGAGGAAAGTTTTACATTTATGTATGCAGCTTGATTTTGCAAATGGTTCTCAAAATCGGTTGATAGAATATAGTGTATCTTCCCTCAAAAACAAAAATGAGGTTGCTGATCTCACATTATTTTCATTATGCTGCTAGTCTAGACAAGCAAGGTTCCCATGTTTGCTAAATTATCTCGACACATAAGGTTAAGTTCACCAAATGCACTTAATTATCTCGACAAACAAGGTTACCATTTACCTTACGTAATCACTAACTTAGTCTTCTCACTATCTGCTGCCAATTATATAGTGCAGTGTCGTTTTGGACTACAATCCCCTGTATATTGAAACCCGTGGAATTAATAATTTCACTCTGCTAAATCTGAATCAAATTGCGTTGAATGTACATATCATCAAGAAGCTTTCACATTAAGTGTTATCACCTACATGATAATTCGTTTACATAGATAATTTGCTTGATTGTTTTACCTTTACAAACGCAAAATTTATTTAATTGGTACGTGTAAATTTATAGAAAAATCGACAGAATATTAAAATTACTTTCAATCATTAACAGGGAGTGTGAGTTTTAACTCTTTGAATGTCGGCCAATAGTGAGGATTTCGCAACAGTGAGCCATGTTTGCTAACTTGTTAGCCAGTGTACGGTTCCTGCAACGACTTTCAAGTTAACCCGAATACCTTCGCTCGCAATAATTATTCAACGAGATTTATTTTAACAGGACAACCTCATCGCAGCCTCTAATGTTGACATTCATGACGAATGTTTACATCAGTTATAATAATTTTCTGTTATTTTGTATTAAGATTTGTTTGTAGACCATACATTATAGTTGTGCTATACCAGCTAAAAATCAACTGTGTTATTCTTAATTAGCGGGAACCGAGAAAATGTCCATTATAATTCTTTCTAACAAATGATTCGACGCCTCTATAATACAGCCAAAGACTTCTGTTGGTTTGAGAACTCATTCTCAAAAATCTCAATCTCAAATAAATCGATCATCTTGATTGATGATAGGCGTAACTAAGTACTGCCTCTATAGGAAAACTTTGGTTCAGCTTCCCTGGGGTATATGGCTTTTGGATTGCCAAAAGTTTGAGACTTAGCTTCTTGGGAGATTTTTTGTTTAGAAGAATCAAGTTGCTTACATTTGTTGCCCTCTTCAATCAGTAAGTTAGAATTTTTCTCAGTACTCTTAAAATTCAGTAGAAAAATGTGGACGCAGCTTGTGTACATCAGAAGGGAAGAAGAATTGAGTGCCGCTAAAGCTATTCTCAGGCCAGCCTCCGGCCTCTTAGCTCCACAAATGCAGGCTGGAGCGTGACTTGGGCTGCCAATTAGCCCCAGCAATTAATAAAAGACCCACGGGTTCAGGAAACGATCGATTCTCTGCTCCAAGATGTTAATTATTTGAATTTAAGTAATTACTAATAAATATTAGAGCGTGACCTGGGCTGCCAATTAGCCTCAGCAATTAATAAAAGACCCAAGGGTTCAGGAAACGATCGATTCTCTGCTCCAAGATGTGAATTATTTGGATTTAAGTAATTATTAATAAATATTACATTTGATTTGTCTATCTCAATGTTTTTCGATTTCGACAATGATAGTCGTTTTTCGGGACAAATTGTGTTATCATGAATGAGAACTATACGTATTGCCCATAACTTCTTTTCTCTTTTGTTTGCAATGAAATAATCTATATTACTTTCACGAATGAACGCAAAACTCTTTTCAAAAATGAATAAAATCATATAGTGGTTAACTATTTTCAAAAATTTTATCTCAATGCTTCAATAAAGCAAATATCCTCCTAATAATATACGCAAAAGAGCTCTCCCCTGAACTATGTTATGTCATCATTCAATAGGGAAACTTTCATCATCGAGAAATTATTCCATGTGTAAAACGCTGAATGCTACGTTGAATGCTTTCTGCTATTAATTGTGTGATTGTAATATAATTCAGCTAAATCAATTGCCTTTGCCATATTGATGAACGAAAATCTATAAACTTAAATCAAATCCTTAACAAATAATCTAATTGATCCGTATAGCAGCCTCTATTTTCCCAGCCTTCAAATGATTAAAATTATCGGTAAATTTTTTAACACTAGCTGCTTTTTTATAACTAGAGAAGGTATGGCCTCAGAAAAACCTTAAATAAATATTCTGCTACATATTCGACTCCAGCTCGCGTATGCCATAATCTCCGACATTAGGGATTAGAATCTGCAATAACAGGCAACTTGTGTTCAAGAATATACAGTACGAAATTTTTTTACTACAAGTATCTACGATCGTATTTATTTCTGCAATCTTCCATTGCTCGTGGGATCGTATTAGAATGTTCAATTTTTCTCTTAGAATTTTGTTGAGAATATTAAACATCAGCAAACATGTTCTTATGAAAATGATCTTAAAGAGCCTTATTTACGCTACTTTTCTTTGTTCTCTTCGAAGCAGGCTGCATGTAACTCGATTGTCTGAGTCATTAGAAAAAGTTTTAAAATAGCGTACCAAGACCCTCCCTTTTTTATTCTAAATTGTCTTCACGTGACAGCGTTCCTAAACTGTTATCTAATTACGCCCCCATCAATAATTTACCGTGAAGATCAAAGCAAACAGGCACGCACCCTGATTCCCCGAGCCTTTTAAACGAATTCCCTGAGAAACGCCCTTAAAATAACCTGGTAGTAATATTGTCCAAGGCCTTGGTGTCGAATTGAAATGGTTCTTTTAATGATCTTTTTCGTTTTTTTAATGATAGAGTTTTATGTGGATATTCATCTCAAGAATTTAAGTTGGCATCCTGATAACAACATCGCTAATGTCGTTTGATCTCAGTTTTTACTCATTTTCACACAATCAATTCCATAAATAAAATATTTTGGAATAGACGGTGGAAATCAAAGTTAAGTTCTATGCCAAAGAAGATGTTACAATGACAACGCAGAATAAATACATTTATGTCCTTTGTCAGGTAGAAAATTAACCAATGATGACGGAGAAAGAATTCAAGCAATAAGTCCTCTTTCAGATAGAAAATAATACAATGGTGACGGAGAAAGAATCCAAGTCAAGTCTTACGTCAGGTAGAAATAATACAATGGTGACGGATAAAGAATCCAAGTTAAGTCCTACATCAGGTAGAAGTAATACAATGGTGACGGAGAAAGAATCCAAGTTATGTCCTACATCAGGTAGAAGTAATACAATGGCGACGGAGAAAGAATTCAAATTAAGTCAAACGTCAGGTACAAATAATATAATGGCGACGAAGAAAGAATTCAAGCTATAAACCCTTTGTCAGATTGAAAATCAAACAAAGGTGACCGAGAAGAAATCGGAGGCAAAAGGTGCTTAGCTCACGAATTCTTCCCACGCATCACTCCACCCAACACCTCCTCTCCTCGCTCTTAATGTCTTCAAGAAGGTCAAGTTGTGTTCAAATTCGGAGTAAAAATTTATGTTATAATTTTAAGAAATCTTTGTCTTTATCTCTTTCACAATCATTCCAGTATGCGTGTTAGAAATTTTTTTTACAGCAAAATTTATGAAATGGCTTTACAAAATTGAAAGTGCAATTATTTCAATGCATCTCATTTAATAATATGCATGTAATCCAACCGAGGCCTCAATCAGTAATGTTGCGTTGTTGTTGAAAGCATTAACAGAAAAAAAGTCTGCAACAAATTTTATAATTAAAGAATTACTTCTCACATTCATATTTCGACTCATGTTGACATCTATTATAGGTTAATTTGAAAATTTTTATCTGCAAGAAAAATCAGCCACAGTGCTCTTAGAAAACAAAGAAAGTTCTAATTGAAAACCGAGAGAATCATCAATATTGAATGAAGCAATCGCTCGGCATTTTTTAGAAGACCACACAACCAAATTAGCGAAAATCAACACAACATTACGAGTATTTCATTAAAAAGGAATAATATGGCTCGCGATTAGTTGCACTTTTTGCAAAAATTTCGCGCAAATAATAATAATAATAATTCAAGAATAATATTTATTTTATCGTGTTTTGCGGCGTAAAAACCTTGCGCGTTTTCTAAAAAAATGAAATACTTCTATGAATCTCTTATAAGAATTTGGTATTTCTTCAGAAAACTCATGTCTATATGATAGACAGCGGTGATTTCGTTCAGCGACTCCTACAAATTTAGTCACGGTGCAGCACCATACAAAAACGTCAATCTGACCGACGGGACAGGATATAAATACAGGTACTTTTGGGGTGTTTAATCATTTACGCAGTCGAGCTCAGCCCGTGAACATCTCCTACGATCATAGTGCTAGTGAACAAAGAGAGATACAAGCTTGAGGTGAGTTCCTGTGATATTATTTTATTTCGGCTTACGTACCGTTTAATTAACAAACTTTTGGTAAGTGCAGCGTCACCTTAAATACAATATTACCATACTTGTGTGATCTAAAAATATTTTTTATATCACTTATTATTATTCCTAGAATACTACCTTGATGTAAATATGCGCAAAGTATATTTGATTTCGGTTATCCTTTAAGTGACTTCCATGCACGATCGTTGCTCGGATTTTTTGCTAACCATGCAATATGTTTGAATTAATTAAATTCCAAAAAATTATATTCCAACGAGAACTGCAAAGTCAATTCCATCAAATTTGTGCTTTTATTTTTTCAACACCGAAGTTAAAAATTCATTAACCTCGTCTAACTGAATGAAAAATCAAAATCTTGTATCGTTAAAGATATACTGTTCTGGTACGAAAATTATCGAGACCCATTCTTAATGCCTAAACGTTCACGGTTCTAGAAGCTCTCAGAATTTATAACTGAACTAAAACACTTAAGGGTCATTTGTGCATGATGTTCCGTGCATGTAATTACTGATATTGTTTCTTACCTACACTTGGTTCTTTTTCAGACAACACAAGAGAGCATCAATAAATATACACGAACGATATTCAATAATTCGAATTTTGAAGATATTGCGAGCGAAATCAACTCGGTAAGATGGATTCTGAACATGGAATAATCGGCCTTGCCTCGTACATCGGCGTCGATGCCTTCACCAACACCGCGTCCGGTCCATGGGTGAAGGAGCATGAGGTGCTCAAGAGACTGCAAACGAGTATCTTCAGAAACTTAGAAATAAATCATAATGCCACAAAACACCATCGTTACCTTAAGACAGTGGAAACAAAAGTTCTGACAGAAATGGCACATATTCTTACAGAAGCCCTCACGCATCCAAAATATACTCTAATCTCAAGTATGAATACAATTTTGATTGAACTTCTCAGCGAAGAAATTCTGAGCAGCGAAGAGGAAGAGATGGTTCGAGTAACCCAGGAACTTCAGTCGGCAGAAAAATTCGTAGAAGCGGCACAGGCAATAATAAGGATCGTTTCGTCCATCCCCCAGGAATGTTATCCAAACTTGAACAATGACCTTACCATTTTCCAAGAGTGTATGAAAACATTAATTGAAGACTGTGATTACGACGATGAAATGAGAGCTTTTATATTTACCAGTGGGGACCGCATGGCAGACATTCTTGCTTCTGTAGAAAACTTGTTCAGAAACGTTCTGCCGCCGGCCAGCTGGCACGAACCTGTGCCTAATGTTGACAACCTAATCGACTTGCTGCCCGCTGGAGTCACGACAAGACGTCTCAAAAAGCGCACCAGCACACACCAGCATTACGGCGGAGCTAACAAGAAGATGAGACTTTGAAGACGATCGAAGAGAGCGATTTTATGACATGAAACCCACTATGGCAAAAAAAAAATAGAAGAAAGCAACAACACTGTACAGATATTCCGTTAATTAATAAATATTAATATTTTTCTACGTCGTCTGATTTAAACCACAAGTTTCTATCTCTGTCTGATGCTAAATTAACTTGAGAAGCTTCACTCATTACGATGCAATTAGAGTGCATTATGACTGTTTTTCCATTTTTGCAATTTTTCATATATCAAGAAGGGAGGCAAGAGCGGAATCTTTATAGGAGATTTACCGTTGGGGGTTCAAGTAGTAGCATCAACTGATGAGCACAACCAGCTTCAATTATTCTTTACGTGATGCAATAATATAGAAAAAAATTACTGAAACCTGATACGAGTAGGTCTGACACCTGTAGGCATGACACCTATAGGTCAGCTATTTCAATAGAGCAGAGTCAGAGAGATGTGATCAGCAATGCGTATGCTTCCAATTTTGTCACTCCTGGGTCTCCATTGTCGATCACTTCGAGGCAATATCACTGTTTTCTTCTTGAAATTTCCTCTATTTACTCAACTTATAGTGGAAATACGGGACGACACCTGACCGAAACGAAACATTCCGGAAGAAAATATGGGATTTAAAATTTACCGAAACGTATAACATTTTATAGGGACATACGACTTATACGTCGTTTCATTATACGACGACTAATAATGAAACATAATAGATAATATTTAAGGTGAAGTATAAATAATGAATTTTTTAGACATTTTTAACGATATATCAAGTAATTTACCAAGTGAAATCATTTAACAAAATATAATATTACATCACTTGCTCAGCTCATCAAATAACAGCAAATTTGACGGCCCAGAGAAGCTCGTCACTCTCCTCAGCGGCTTGCCTGTTGACAGCGTCAGCGCGCTCTTACTTTGACGACAGATGGAACGCTTGTACGGTCCGTGTTAGGAGCGATCATTAGAAGATTGCAAGAGCATCATACATGAAACGTTCTGCCAATAAACGCAACTGTCAAGTTGTGTAGGCAGCCCAATGTCGCCAAATCTGTCCATTAATAAGCATGAGTTAACTTGCTAATCATTGATCCGACCGCTTGGACTGTTTCGTTTTCCTCCGTAATGGAATGTATAGCGTTGCATAGAATATCTGTTGTACATCTCGTTATTTGTTTCGTAAATTTCCTCAGCGTCCAGACAACACTTGTTAAATACCAAAATATAGTTATTGACCCGATTAATAACTTCATTCAGATACACTTTCTTTCCATATTTCTCCGTCTTTATTAAATTTGTACATTTCCCACCTTGACTCGTTGTCCCGGTTCATTTCGAAAAAAAAAACATTCTGGGCGCAGAGGTTGTTAGAATCTCATTAGTGCTGCGAGCAATAATGCAAGGCTTATCTCATCGCGTTCATCCACGTGCAGCTGATGACCCACGGAGCTCGTGCTACCTTCCACGGTATATCACCAGGGTCTTTCCCTCAAAGCAGGCTAAAAACTCACAATAAAAGGCAGATGGAAGATGAATGACGTATATTTACAGCATCAGTTATATACTCTTGCACGATAATTTACACAAGAACCACAAACTGAAGAAACATCCAAAGGCAGACATCACAGTTCTATGGAATATAAACCAGTCGCCACAAACAACATTCAGAGCACAACGAGTCTTCGCAAGAACAGCAAATAAGTAAAAATAAACGAATAAAATCTGTCGTTAAATAACTAAATTATGTGGTAATAGAATAAAGTTCAATATTACAAGCCAAGGTCAGGAATGGGTTATAAAATAATATTTGCTGATAAATTTTACAACAAGTCACAAGTAGAAGTTACCTCTAAACGAGTAAGTCCTACTACGTAGAAAGAAACGGTAATCACAGAAGCCGTAACGGAAAAATGGCCTGAATTCTATGATGTTAGTCAGAAATTAATTTCAAACTTATATAGTACGCTTAGCTTTTGCGTCCAATGATCCCAGAAGTGGAGTTGTTTAGAGTAAAAGATTGTAAAAAACTGAAAGATTTAAGGTGAAATACTGTGAAGGTTTCATACCACGTGACGCACAAGAGCTAAAAAAATAACATTTTAATGCCCAAACGATGGCTTTCTACTTGATTTACGTTCAAAATTATTATTAGTGAATTACTTCTGAACGATGTACGGAAAACGTGAACACAGAATCTGGGGTTGAATTTGCACAAATAAATTTTTAATGATCTTTCAGTGTGCCATTAGTAAACGGACCAAATTCCTGATACATTCTCGAAGTATTAGGTGTAGCAAATGACCTTCTTCGGAGCATATTGGTCTAGGGAACATTTTCTCGTGCTTCAGCCATGAAGCCGCATTTCGCATCGGCAACGGCCATTTATTCACCACCTATATATGACTTCAATCAATTTTTTACCACCGTCGTCGCCACCAATTCCACGATTCCAAAATTATTCGTTACCTACGAGTGGCAAAAGGCCTCAAATAGCCAGCCTGCCGGAGCTTGGTGAGAGAGATGCAACGTTGTTATTAAAGAAAGATGGAGGGATAACAGCGCCAGTAATAGAACACTAGCTTGCATGAACGAAACGCTGACTGCCAGAAAGAAGACAGGGAAGAGTAGGGCCTGGTATCCTTCCTACATAATAACATGAACCGCGACTGAGACACGCATGTAGACATCGCGAGCTCTAAGGTGGGGCGCTCACAAGCAAGGTCGCTGGGAACGAGGAAACCTAAAAGGCTTTTTCTGGCGATCAGAGACGCGCGTCAGAAGGCTTCTTAGCGGGGCGATAATTAGATAACTTTCATGATAAATCGCGAGATCATAAAAAAGCCCGAAAGGCCGGAGAGTAGGTTTCGAGTAGAGGCATCTAGATCAGCCTGCGAGAAGAGAATGTGTTCACTCGAGCGAGAAATTTAAGCAAGATAGCAAATGTAGATTTCAGATCAGAGTCCTAAATTTGTAGGCCAGTCCTAAGACAGTTAAATGAAAAGATGTTTGAATAATTAACATAGGACTTCACTAAAGCACACCATACAGATAGCAAGTGAAACTTTGAATACTCGAGAGTGTAAGCCTAACAATAAAAAGCAGTATTGCAAACTTACACAGAACCCTCAACTTCTGGTTTCTAGAATATACAATAATAATAAGATACAAATTTATTGAATTTCAAACGTTTCTGAAAACGCAAGAATTTCTGAATGCGTTTAAAATTTGAAAGCATCCCAATCCGAAAATTTTCTTCCATAGCTCGCATAAGACCCTGGAGCCATTTTCCAATCCAAAGCTAGTAAAGAGGTATGAACATTTCTAAAATATTTCATTCGACTTCAGGATTAAATACAAAATTGCACGTGGCTATTGTAGTGCAACCAGAGCATTCCATATCGCACGATGTATACGATTTCCTTCCCTCTCTTGAGCGTCTGACAAAGTGTACGTAAGCAAGTTTAAACAGGACTCGTTCATTCTTAGCATCGAAAAACGTACGGTACAGAACGACTGTTCCACGATTGTTTGCAATTCAAGGGTATAAATTCAATTGACTTACTTTCGAAGAACATCAATACCCGACTATTGTTTCCCACATTGTTTTAAAATATTCGCCTACACAAAAAAAAAACTTAGGGTCCATAGGCAGTTTGCATGCTGTTTTCCAACCTAAATTTTAGCAACATTACCCTCAACGTAAACTTCGAGCACATTAGGAGTAACAACGAAGCCAATAATGAATATGCTGATTATTCAAGATGGAGGAGAGTAGTCACAAAATAACAACGGATTCCTACGAAATATTTAGGCAACACTAGGTGCAAATCTGACGAGCAATTAATTCACATGAGTCACTTATTCTAAAGCAAGACACAATGGACGTCGCAAAACTCGCAGACTTTGGGGCAGTTTAAACACTGCCTTCATCAATCAAAGACACGTAACAGCGTTTGTGTCACAAACGATCTCATCTCTTACCGAAGCACGTAGGTCGAGAAACATGCCGTACACGTTAATAAACACAATGTATTAGTGAAGAAACATGCGCTCATGTAAAAAAAAAATCTTTCTAACCGACACTAAGAAAACCGAGTATTTACGTATTCCTATGCAATTTCGCGCAATGTTCAAATTTAAGACCCAGGATATCTGATTGAATCAAAAGCGGCGTTTCTTTGATCAATGTAAAGTTATCTAGCCTGATCACTTGCCCGATGAAAAAGCAATTACATATACAGCTGGCTACTCACTCAATGCTTGCAGGAGCCAGCCTCATCAAGGCCCTCGTACACACACAACCATCATACAGGTATTACTTCTAAGGACATCACGAGTTTGAGTCACGCGGTTAGGCAACCTCTGCATCGAGCGTTTCAAATGACGGCATAATTTAACAGCGATTAATTTCAAATAGCAACTACTTCGTTTACGATACTGCATGTTAATGCTAAGATATTATGGACTGATGTAAGAAATCTTAGAAACGATCTATACGTAATACAGTTATTATTATGAACGCTGTCAAGAGTTAATTGTGACCGTAGTTGGTGACAGCTTTGGACAAGTGTTTTCCTTTGTGACATTGCAGGACAAAAATTGGGAGATAAATTGTTTTTTTGGAATTTCAGTCACCTGAAGAAACCCGATTCTTTGGTCATACTCGCCAGGGCTTGGAGAACAGACAAAGGACCGACTTACGTTTAACTAAAAGATGTGAAAGTCTTCGCAACCAAGCACGAAAGATGTATCAATAACAGAAATGCGTGCATATTCGTAACATGGCTGTCAAAATTTATGAGGGAAAAGCCAATCATAAACCCGCACAATCTGGCGAAAATTTAACTTTTCAGGTTCATTTATTCAGTCGTATTATAAAAAGGAAACCGTGAAAAACAACAGAAACCGTGTAAAAAGTAGACACTGTTATATAAAGAAACGAACAACTTCCACGACCGGTAGGGGAGGAGTGAGTATGTGACGCATTTTCGAGCACAATATTTACAGGAGTAGAAAGTTACGAATGTATTCAGGTCCGCAACAACCAGCTGAAGCAGATAGACATTACACCACATCTAATCAATCCAAACGAACGTCCCTCCCAAATACATCGCAGCAGGAAATGTGTCATTGAGAAGTTTTCGAAGTGCAGTAAACTTAGATATTATCATTAATGCTGGTAATATTTACGGGTCTATAGAAAGATGAATGACGGTGTCTAGCTGAAAGTGTTATTCATCATGAGTGGTCTGTACCATTTAATAGGCCAAATATCTCGTGTTGAGATAGAGTCGTGAGTGGACAAAATAATTTAGTATGGAACTAAAGGTTAGGCATGAGAAGTTGAAGGTGGTCACAACTCACAAGTTATAGAGAATTGTCTTAGCGAGGAGAGCATGCGATACGTTACACCGAATTTGCCAAGGCGGCGCACGCATTAATGGGTTTTATGTTCTCGGAGCACCGTACAAAAAAGGCAAGAAGCATTAGTTTTCAGAAGCATTAACTCTAATGTAAATAAATTAATTCATTCTCAAAAACTCATTATCAGAGAGCACACTCAAAGTTTCTAATACCGAATGATTGAAGGGTAGGTAATTTCATCATTGTGCTCAGTATGAAGGCGATCTAGCAACGCTGGCCATTATTTAGACGAATCTTAAGAGTCCAATCTTAAGTGAACAGTGAATTCAAGTTAACAAATAAGTACCACCCAAATCCCGCGCACTACAAAGCAGCTCACGGATTGGTTCTGCTACATTCACGAGGACAACATTTCGTGGAAAAAATCTAGGGGTTTGGAGCAGCGCTTGGTGTCTCGACTGACATCGAATGCATTTATTATGGCCCGAGCATGAGCTATTCTATTACATTGTCAAAAAAATGTTCATGTAGAAATGAAATAACAATTAATTTTGTTTGGTCCTTCTAGGGCAGTATGGGCAATTTTACATGGAATACTCAGTAGTGCAACAATGAGTTTAGCACAGCGATCAGAGAACATATTTTACTGTTAATAAAAAATGACAGTGAACAACTTCAATATTTATAGATCATACGCAACATTGTGAAGAGAATTCAAGTCTGAATAACAACAAATTAATGAGTCGGAGGTAGGTCAAGAAGAAAAAAAAATGGTCACTGCCTGAAGAAGATTGTAGTCAATCCAGAAAAATTTTCACAATAATAATAGCAATAATAATATTTTTTAGCATCGCTTTTAACTCTCCAGACACGTCGAGAGAGCGATGGTAATGTAAAAAGTACGTACCTAGTGAAAAATTTCATTGCAGTTACTCTCGATCACAAACAATGCAATAGCGTGACAATTTCATAATTTAAAAAAGAAATGTTTGTAAAAACGAACGTAGAAGTACTTGAAGTCAGTGTGCACACGTGATGCAACAGAGATAGATTAAAATCATGAAAATATTGGCGTCCTCAAATGGACGGAGAGTCATTAGTGTATTAAATAATTTTGAAGCAACGAAAATTACCTATTTTTTCCTTAGGAATATAAGATACGTTGGCAGTCAACATGAAAATTAAGGTAACGGTTCTAATCACCATTTATGAAGAAAGTAATCAAGATTATAAGCATTTCTTTGTATGTACAAGACTAATGATACTACCGCTCGCATAGTGAACTTTACAAAAATTCGTTTACCTGAGGCGTCACAATAACTGAGCCTAGAATGGAGCAACGCATTCTGACCAACCCTGAAGTGGGAGATGGATGCAAGACATCCAACCATAGGCTGGCTGTAACGGTAACGTAATCAAGAAAGAATTCGGAAATTCTGATGTAGTAATTCTATGGTAGTTCTTGTCTGTGAGGGGAGCATTTGAAGATGACCTTACCTTATTGCAAAATAAATAATGAACATGGGAGTAGAAATAGAAGAGTATCAGATTTTTTCTTTTACCCACGTGAATAATAGAGACAAATTGAATTGAGTTTGCCAAGAGGCCAAAATTAGCTGCAAGCCCCAAATGAATAGAAACAAGTACCGGTAAAACTAACAAAATCGTGAGCACACTAATTAAATAAAATCATTAAGTCTAGCAAGAAAAATAATTTATGAAAAGAAACAGAAGATAGAAAATTTGAAATTAGAGCATACAAAAGCATCACTAATCGTGCAAAAGTGAAAGAGTTACAAAAAAAAAATCTATGTAAAGAAGACAGCAACATAAGTTCCAACACCAACATTCAAATTATACAATACAGAAATTTAACGATCAATAGTTGCAATTTTCAGAAAGGTTACAACAAGTAACAAAATTAGGAGTTTCTCAGTAAATGTGCTCAAAATTCATTGGTTCGTGAAACAAAGACAGGCTCCACGTCATTTGCCATTCAACTTGAAAACAAACTCAGAAGTTTCAACGTTGAGGATTCCATATCTACAAGCAGGCAACTCAGCCGCATACTTTCACAGATGCAGCAGTTAATTGAACTTGATTCATGAGCTGAATGCCGACTCTTCAAATTTAGGTAATACAAACCCAAAATTACAAACCCACATCAAAATACCGAGGATTGGGGCAAGACGTGTCCTCTTATTTGTGACACTCAATGGCATAGCAATAATAGCAAGCAAGAATAAATGTGTGAATTCAATGAATTCACAAAATCTCAATCATTTGCTGTTAAGGAGGAAATGAGATATACACATCACTGAAAAGTCAATAGTAATACCATAATTTGTCAGTGTTAAACAATCGATGTGACAACAGCTTAGTTTGCAGAAGATCGTGTCTAGCAATATTTCGCATTCGTAAAGCTTATTAATATTGCTACATACGGGACCAAACTACCAAGTCACACACCATTCCCTTTCTTGCATGACGGGCATAACAAACTTAAATTTATGCACTAGGAAAATCCTAAATCCTCAACATGGAAGTTAGGATTTGCACACTTCCTATAATGGACGTCGCTCTGAGGTTTGTTGATACTTTGGATTTGATACTTTGCACATCAGCATCACTTGCGGAGCTCTGTGCCACATCATGGGGCATGCTATTCTGAAGTCTGTATTCTATAAATGGTTATGTTGCATCGCATCCTCACTTTGTTAACACCTGGGCACAAAAATCAGGATTAATTTTCTGTCAGTGGATATTTTGCATTGCATCTTCACTTTGTGAACACACGTGCACAACTATCACTATTAGTTTTCTATGAGTGAATGTTTTGCATAGCATCATCACTGGCAGATGACAGGAGGTCTCATGGTATGACAGGAAGTCTCATGGTTTGTTGTTGGCAGTGAGCCACGTGAGGCCCTCATAGAGGCCATCGCCTGTGGTGGCGCAGCAGGGCTGCACGTACCAGTTACGGTCCCGCACGCGAGTCAGTCCAAGCTTCTCTTGTATCTCGTGCGGCTTCATTGCTGTAAAATCAACAATGAATTAGGACATAGAAAATGAACATAACATTACTAGATGCAACAAAAGTTGCATAGCAATGCCATCATAAACTTTGTGTTTATATAGGTGAAAATTCAAATAAAATTTGAAACATAAAATTGTGCTATCAAGAAAATATATGGGCAAGGTTGTAATCAACACCATTTGAATAGATAGGATAGGGTCATCAATAATTTAAAACCATGATGACAGAAATTAAATTACATAGATTACAAGAATAGGTATAGATGAAATCACACAATAGAAACATTAATAGATAGAATGACGAGCATACACCATGCACCAGAATAACATCCATCATCCTTCAATCGAAAAATAATGTTCTTTTGATCCATTTTAAATCAAATTATTGTACATCATAGCACAATTAAAAATATCTTCAAAATCATAGCTTGCCATCCTATTTAGCAAGAACTGACCATCAGGAAGATCCTGTTTGTTAGCATACACCAAGATGATAGCATCCCTCATCTCTCTGTCATTGATGATGCGGTGCATCTCCTGCCTCGCTTCATCCAGACGGTCACGATCGGCGCAGTCCACCACAAATATGAGCCCCTGTGTGCCTGTGTAGTAGTGACGCCACAACGGCCTGATCTTGTCTTGACCACCAACATCCTGTGATCATTGCACTATTCAACACGTTGACCCGAAGGGGTACATATGCATACCAAAAAATGTATTTCTCCAGGAAGTAGTGGTACATAATTCAGGTTGCCTAAAATCGGCCAAATCAGAGAACAAAAAAAAGCAAAAAAGGCTGATAACTCGATACATACTAGTTTATTTGTAGGTTCCACTATAAAAATTCCATTTATTTCTTTTTGCAGTATTCAAAATTTAATAAGGAAGTACCCCTATCATAAATTTTAGCCAGCCAACACAATTGAGAAAAACAATCACGGAATTTGTCCAGAAAAAATGACCGTCTGGCAACCAGGGTTGGCAATGATTAAATCAAAATGATTAAATCATGTGATTAAATCACTTGATTTTTTATAAAAAAATGATTTTTTTTATTTTTTCGATTTTTTTGATTTTTTCATATATTTAAATAAATTGAGTGGCAGTCTTTAATTCATATTGAGGTATTGTTATTCATGGTTNTATATATGTGTCCTAGTATTACCTGTCTCTTATACACATCTAGATGTGTATAAGAGACAGATCCATTATGATCCATATACTGTTATTGTTAGTAGGCTAATTGCAACATAAAAAATAACACTTCAAAAAGACAAAAAAGTTGAAAAAATAAAAAAAAATCATGAAAAAAATCAAAAAAATCATCGATTTTTTATTTTTTTGTTTTTTTTTTAAATAAAAAAAATCGCCAACCCTGCTGGCAACCCTGTTTAAAAACAGTATAAAAATAAAATAATAGTACAAGATGAAGCAATCGGAGTCAACGTGTTAACACGCAAGAACTTAAAAACTACAAGAACTTCAGAACTGTAAGAACTTTAGAACTGCAAGAACTTTAGTACTGCAAGAACTTGAAAACTGCAATAACTTTAGAACTTTAAGATCTTTAAAACTGCAAGAACTTTAAAATTGCAAGAACTTTAAAACTGCAAGAACTTTAAAACTGCAAGAACTTTAGAACTGTAAGATCTTTAAAACTGCAAGAAGTTTAGACTTTTTTAAGTTAGTGCAGGAAAGACAGCAGAAGTACAGGAGAGCATTTGGATGCTGGGCTTATGGCAAAATAATTGCTGCAAATAATCAAGGATTTCTAAATGATTTGTAGCTATTAAGTTAAACCTGAATGATCAATCAGGAAACAAAACAGTGGTAGAATTAAAATTATGAAAAGCATATGTTATTGATATTAAATTTAATCCAGACTGCTTCAAATGTTCAATTTCACACAAATGATTCAGCACACTAAGGAGTAGAAAAAATTATTCACATCAATCATGCTCAGTGATAAAATAGTCTAATATACTTACCCACACATTGAATTTGACATTTTTGTATGCAACCGTTTCAACATTGAAGCCAACAGTTGGGATTGTTGTAACAGAATGCCCCAGCTTCAGCTTGTAGAGAATAGTTGTCTTGCCAGCAGCATCAAGGCCCAACATAAGAATACGGATTTCCTTATTACCAAAAATTTTACTGAGGAACTTGCCCATGGTGACCTGCAAGTCCGCTTATAAAAGCTTGGCCACAGCAGCGTCTCCTGAAACACAATTTTTTATAAATATTCGACTGATTATTCAATTCAGCAAACACCATCATAATTGTCTAGAATAAAATAAAAACTTTCAAAATGTAATTGATGACAGACAGAGAAGATATCATTGAAAACCTACTTGAAATCACTTGAATAATAATGTAATTAGTATTGAATAATAAGTGAACATGTAAATGTTATCAACTGCTCCAGAGTGCCATGTGGCAGCAATGTACCAGCAGGTTGTAACAAGAGAGTTAGCTTAGTTTAGCTTCCAGATTGTTACTGTCTCACATCACAGCAAGGTGATATTTTCACAATCCAAGGTGTATATAATACTAAAAATGCAGAACAACATTGCTACATTGATGCTGTGCTGTGCTGATGTCAGTAATGGTCATTTAATGTTATCCTCACAATTATTCTCAAGAATATAAGATTGAAAATAGATCTACTTTCACAAAAAAATCAATGGACCATGTCAGAGCATGGTTGGTAATTTTTTTGTATTTTTTACTTATTGCCTTTAATAATGGCGAAGGTGGTGTTTATCACTTTGGGACTTTTGGGTAAACAATTATTGACAAGTCTATTTATTAGCTTTGTAATTTATGTATGGAGCAAGGTAGCCAGCTAAATATTGACCATTTAACTGGCTTCAATATAAACAACAATTCAGGAATGCTGATCTTCTAAACATTGAAGAGTCACATAACAGATAGGTAGCTGATAGCACAGTGCACAACACTATCAAGAGATCTACTAGTTTTATGTCCTATAAATCTACCAGACTCTACCTCTACCCCCTAAACACACCAACTAGTAGTGACTGAGTGACTGACTGCACTGTTCCCATTTGATTCAGACCAATAAAACAACAATAAACATAAACTGAACGACAGCCAAACAAACCTCAAATCACTTGAAACAGGACTTATGTTATGAGAAAAGCTAACACTGTTTGAAATTAACATGTACACAATTCAAACATTTTATTTCCATTCACTGCATTTAATTATTTTATATAGGTACTATAAGTGCGCTGATAGGGTTATTAAAGGTTCTACAGTTAATGAAAGGAGTCATAAATAATTTCATCATTCTAATTAATGGAAAATAGTTTTGAGTGTGAAATCTTTAGTAAATAATATATGTCTAGACATAACTGTCATCAGAAATTCCCAACATAATGGTATTGGAACATTGTCTTTACAGGCTATTGTGCAATGCTGATACCGTAAAATGGGGTTACTTTGACCGGCGGGGTAACTTTGACCACTTTTCGTTTTTTTAACAAAAACCCCTAAAACTCAAAAAAGATTCGACATAGAAAAATTTTGTCAATGGCCATCAAAGGCCTAATACTGAGGCTACTGTAACACAATAGAAAGATTTAAAAAGTTTGCACATCTAATAGGTTAAAAAATTAAAAATGTGACCCACAAAAAAGAGCTATTATTTGAAGCTTGTTAGAGTACCCCCTCCAATTTTTTTATTTTTTGGTAAAATAACTCCAGGTTTTGATGCAATGAAGTAGAACTCTTCTAGTTACATTTGCAAAAGACAAATTTTAGAAAAGTGTCATAGTTTGCAAATGGGGGGCGCCGCCCCCCAATGGGGTAACTTTGACCACCTAATGGCAGCCGTGACGGGGTAACATTGACCGGCTTGGAAATTAAGTTAAAATTACCATAGGTACCGTAAAATGGGGTAACTTAGACCACAAAACTATGAGAGGCAGGAGCCAGCAATTTATGGTGAGTAAAGCTAGAGTATAGACCTGTATTTTGCATGTTTCAATTTAAGTTTAACTTATCTAGTAAAAAAATGGCATTGTTTCGAAATAAAAAAGCGGTCAAAGTTATCCCATTTTACGGTACATCATCATGTGTCATGTGATGTGCGATGTGTCTCTTGAAGCTCTTCATATTATATTAATGTTTGTTGATATAATTAACCTTCAAATTGCAAAAAATGGGTACTGATAATTTTTAAAAAATTGCAGTGCCTGTAGTATTTTTGTAGGGTAAATGCACCATATTCTGACACTGTGGGTAATTCCAACACCTCTCAACTTTTTCCTTTATATCAAGCTTTGTCTTACTTCCACGCATGCATAGATGGTTGAAATAGTGACCTCATACTATTGTGTGCAATATTTCCGCATAACACTAGTTCTGGTGGGAAAATGTCAAGGGTAAGATCCGAAGAGCAAAACTCCACGTCAGCCAGTGAGAACATCAAAACACGTGTGAAAGTTGATAGTTGACCTTGCTCAACTAAATAGTGATAAACTGTTTGTGTAGAAAGAATATCATGGTTTGAGACTTTTATATAAGTCTGCGAATATATAAGGAATCCTTCAAGTATACAGGTATTTGCTGATTTTAAGTGGTAAATAAATTAATAGATGATTAATTTAAGAGATGGTTTTAGACACATAAAAACTAATTCCGACACATTGTATCGGAATTAGTTTTTGTCATAGGCCTATTCCAAGCTGTGTCGTATTCCGACACAGCTCACACAGGGTGTCGGAATTACAAATTAGCTATGATTTTAAAGAGCTGTCGGAATTAGTCTCACAATATGCCAAATTTAGTCACACACAGTATCAGAATTCAGCAATTTTGTAGATTTGAATTCTAAAGGCTTTTAAATGAATATGGCAACAGTTAGTGATGTTTAATCATTGCTGGCGCATAGTGTGGTGTTTTGAGAGTTACATAAAGCAATCAGAACTAGAGTTGCGCGTACAGTGCTCTATAGCCATTCATTTGTTGCTAGGGTAAACTCACCATATTCTGACATCGTGGGTAATTGCAACACTTCTCAACTTTTTCTTTTATATTAAGCTTTGTCTGTGTTCTACGCATGTGTAGATGGTTGAAATGGTGGCATCATACTATTCTATTGCGCGCCAGATTCCCGCAAAACACTTGGTCAGGCAGGAAAATGTCAAGATCCTCAGAGCAAAAGTCCAAGTCAACTAGTGAGAACATCGAAACCATAGTGACAAAGGAGAACATCTTTTTATTTCAGGGTGAACAAAGGTTTCCTGAACAAGAATGAAGCCTTTGCTATTTTACAAAAATGTTAGGACCCTAATTTTTAATGGCAATTGTGCAACAACATTAAATAAAATAGATAATCTTATCACTTCCAACATTTTGTTTGACCAAGAACGATTCTGATTGCTGACGTTCAGAGGGCTGACGCACGTCAACAAATCTTCATCGAATGCGGCTTGAGAGAGTTTTAACACCTAGATACTCACCCGACCAGAGCAGGATGTGCACTGAAACTAAATTGCTTACACACCATCAGCAGAGCTGCAGCTAGCCCTGTGGACAAGACATGCTGCGCACGTACACGTTTGCTCGCTCTAGCTTCGATGGCTTTAGAATCAGTTTAATTCCAAATGATTCTGAACAAGATTTATGACCTGCTTCTCTAAACGACAGAAAAATAACACCATTTCTTGCTCCAAGAACCAATGGAAAAAATGATCTGATAGAAAATTTCTTACCTTTTATGATGAGCTAAGAATTTTGGTGTTTTTCATAACTGTTAACAATTTTACCAAAACTTCAACATTTTTAGGTAAAAATTGTTTGCCACTTGGGGCCTGAGCAAGCTTAATTTTGAATATCTTGCAGTGTGGAGCTTCTGCATGGCTGCAGTGCATAGAGACGCAAATAGCTTTCAAAAATGTCATTTCATAATTTTATTCACGGATTAATTTGAACATTATATACATTGATTCAGCATAGAAACATACCTACTCCAAGTATAGCTTAGGTATTCATTTGAGCATTATCTATAATATTCTCTATCCAAAAATATGCTGTCGAGCAAATTTGTTTTTCAGCATATTACTGTATATGATGATGGTTATGGGTAAACAGATTCATTACACTGTCATCATAATTATCATATATTTACCATCATTTTTTACGCACAATTCTATCATTTCTTACTTCACAAACGCTATATTTTTATCGAATTCGCTCATCTTCCATTGTTCACACATTCTGCAGTGCTTCTAATTAACATAGGTATAAGCGACTGGATGCAACAATCGGTTCGCAAGAACCAACATAGCCCTGACAGCAGCAATTTCGAATTTTCGATTGACGTTAATTTCTAAATTAAAATGTATTTAGCCAGTATTTCTTGAACAAAAAATTTTTTGGCCAGGTTTGTGGATGTAGGCAGGTAACCTCAAGTAATAAGCAACTTTTGAGACATACTAGGCATTCCTACCTGCTACCATCACTGCCTGACAACTATTCTAAAACGGGGTAAAAAAGGACTGGACATGGGGTAAGACGGGATCACTAAATGATCCTGTTTTACCCACAAGTGGTCCTATCTTACCCCATAAACGGTCCTGTCTTACCCCACAAATGGTCCTCTTTTACCCCATAGTTTATCAAAAATAGCTTTTAAATGAATTTATTATTGTGCATAAGTATACATGGAGTATTTTGGTCAAAATTTTCATCATTTGCTTAAAATAACAATTCTAACTTGTTAGCTTTTTTAATTAGATAAATTTACAATGCTATTGGGAATTGCATCATGGGGATGGAGAAAATAGGGATGTCTCTTCGCATTAGTGAGCTGCAGAACAATGTGCAAGAGTGGTTGGGGGAAAAATCATTGTGTGAAACATAAAAAATAATTATTATCACAATTTTGTGAGAGGGCATGGGCTATGTTTGAAGAAGTGCACCACAAATGCAGTTAGCAAGAAAACACATGACCTCCAACTCTTAAGTTATTATCCATTGGTTTTATTACCAATTTGATAAATTTTCAAACAATGACACTAATGGAATATACATGTAGCATTTGGCAGTGCTCTACAATGAATCAAAGCCAACCTACTGTTTCTATGCTTAACAAAGTTTTCTCGTGCCAAAAACTCCAATGTGACTGATATTAGAGTTGACTTCCTGCAACACAAAACAGTAACAAGTGGTTCTTTAATCAAATAATGT